TTCCTTTCCTGTGGCTCAGCCTTGCCCTGTGGTCCCACAGGTGACTGGTCTCCGTTCTTCAGTTGTCAGGAGCCAAGATGCCGATTGATATGTACGAGTCGCAATACAGGCACCCCATTCTGAGATATGGATTTGTGGCTTTTTATCACACACTCTGGAGGCTACGGACACACACAAAGGCACACAGCACGTTTCTTTCCTGTTACGTTTGGACAGAACTTTATCTTAACAGTCATCCCTGCTATTGTCGAGCGTGGATGCTCTGAAGACCCAGGACCTTTCTCATGATGGGACTGGCGTGTGTTTGAGTTTCAAAAGGGATGACAACAGCTTGCTGCCGAGGCGGCTGTGTCCCGTGCTTGTGTCCTTGAGACCTACGGCTCTAACACGCAGCAAAGGAAATGACCCAAAGTCCTGGGGCCGAAAATCCGCGGCCCACCAGCATTGGTCAGGCTCCCAACTCAGACACGGGACACACATCTTTGGCACCCATGTGCTGCCCACCTCAGTTTCTAGAACAGATTTAGCACTTCGCCCCCAGGCTAGAATTACTGGCTCATCATAGTCATTGCCGGCTTCCGAAAAAGCGTTGCCGGCGTCAATCACGCGCCTCTAGCCCCGTTGGGCTGGAGCTGGGTGTGGGGGGTGAGGGCACGCATCCGCACACGGCAGCGACGGAATGAACTTCCTGCCGCCTTCCTCTCGACGCAACCCACGCGCGCGGCGAAAGCGCTCGACGGCCGCCGCTCAGTTCAGCACATGCTCCCGTCCGGCGCCTCCGGGTCCGCGATTCCCGCCGCCACGGCACCACAATCGCTGCGGCCCCTTGGCAGGCAGTTTCCGCGGAGCAGTCTCCGAGCGCCAAGAAATTTCCCCGCCTCCCACTCCACCCCAGCCCGCCGAGTCGCCCACAGAACCCAAACATCTCTGTCGTAGGATCTCCGCAGCTGGAGGCGCCCAAAGCCGCCGGCAGCCGTCCTCCGGGCCGAGCGCAGGGCGTCGATCGCCGACCACGGCATCATCAACGCAGGGGGAGACGCCAGGGGGAGACCAGCAGGTCGCGTTCGCTTTCAAGCGATTGCCCGGCCGGCCAAAGGCCAAAGGCCAAAGCCCTGGGGGAGGGTCCATGCACCGCACTCTTTGTCCTCACTTTGTCAACTCTACGCAAAGGTCTGGTCGATCCCGTCTGTGGAACACACCCAATCGCACCGCCCACAGGCATGTCGCACATCGGGCCGTATTGAATCCCGCGTGGGCGAGCAAGCCCTACCCAATCCCCGCCACGGCCCCCCCGCCCACCTGTTAAAGCGGCATCACGCAATCGGTCGCCGAGCCGCGATGGACTTCCCCCGAGGGGCGTCGTACTCTCGCAGGCCCGCTCCGACTGCCCCGCCCGTCCCAGCAAGCGTCGGCGAGCGGCTCTCTTGCGCCCCTTGCGCGAGGGCTCCCTGGGACGTCACCGGAATCGCCCGCAGTCCTGGCGCGCGTGCGGTTGCTCCTCTCCGCAGCGAAGCCCCCCGTGATGTGATGATGGACTGGTGCCGAAGTGTACCCCTCACAGCTGCCCACAGACCACCACGGTCCGACGTCAAGCATGACGGGGTGCTCGGAGGTCGTTAGTCATCGCTGTTGCGCCCTCGTGGCACCGCCGCGGAGCGCGTCCAGTTCGCGCCAGGTCGCGGCCAACCGCGCTGCGGCGTCTGCGGTGGCGACTGGGGGTCTGAAACCGCAACGAGTCGCTCCGTCTTTTCAGTGAAGATCCGTTCTTTTTCCGGACACCTCAAACCCTAAAACTGCTAACCGGCGTTGGCCTTGTCAGGGGAAGAAGATCGATCTTCACGGAAAGGACAGAGGGACTCGCGTATTCTCGCTGGAGCGCAGGGAGTTGATGCACGTCATGTTGCCTCTGTCTGCGACGTTGCCATATTGATTGAAGCGCGAAGTACAAAAGTACTTTTTGCTACAGTTCCAGCTCGCCAGCTTGCGAACACACTTCGTTTGATGTATTACCATCGATTATCGCTTCTATGCATCGAGAGTTCATAGAATCATAGATTTGGTTTGTATTTCTCATTAGATTTCAATGAACAAGTCACCGACTCTGCTTTGCTCAGGCAAAATAGGAAGCTGACGGCTACCTCATTGCCTTGTTCTGTAAAAAATCGTGATGGTGATAATGATGATGATTGGAGCGCGGGAGGCCATCGCGTCGTACGTTCGAAACCGAGTTCGGAATTCTTGCCCGAGGCGAGCATTTGCGAAGCAGGCCGACTACCATGAACAGATTTGCCTTCCGGTCCTGCCAAGAGCGCCTGGCACATCCAAAGCGCCCACCCACGTCCCCTAATCAAAAATTCATTAGCTGATCGTGTATCACATGATCAAGGTGTTTGACCAAAAATCTAGCTGGCATCTTGCTGGATACAGCATAGTGTGTACTCCAACTTTGGCCTCTATCTTATTGAACATGGTGCCTCAGCCTTCTCTGGACCTGGAGTTTCACTCTCTTTCCATTGAAGCTGGCCCTTTTCCGTGTTCAAGCGCAACACGAACGACGCATCCTTGGCACTCGAAAGGGCGATTTTGCCCCACACGTTACGCGATCACACGAAACGAGTGGCATTCGTGTCCTTCGGCTTGCGTGCGCTTGCGTGTCGAAAGCCCTTGCTTGGGGACTAGACGCTTAGCCTTTCGCCCGACCGTTGCTGCACCGGACCAGTTTTCTTGCTGACGCGCCCGCCTCACTGGCAGCATCTCCAAGACTTCTGGGGTGTCACGACGCCCCCGCTTCAGGCCGGCCTATCCGGGCCATGGAGGCCGTGTGGTTGCGTTTTCGGAACGACCTGCCCGAGGCGGGCTTCGCGCGCCACAAGGCGCCCAGCCGCTTCAACCTGTGGCTGACCGGCGTCACCCTGCAAGCCGGCCTGGGCGCCTTCTCCTCCGGCACCTTGACGACGGGGGCCTCGGCCTGCGGCTGGGGCTGTCGTACGCCGGCGACGTCCTCTACGTGCTCTGCTCGGCGCTGCCCAAGTTGCGGCGCCCCACGCGCGACAGGCTGGAGCTGTGGCGGGTTTCGATTTTGACGTCGGTGGTGTGGTTTGCAATCGCCGTGGCGGTGGCCGCGAGGACGACGGGATCGGGAACCGCCGACAGCCGCTCCTCCCTGCTCGCCATGCTAGTCTTCCTGCTGCCCACCCTGGCGCTGCCCATGCCCGTCAGATTCTACTACCCCATGCATGCCGTCAAGCTCGCAGCATTCTTATTCGTTTTCGACATCCCCAAGGCATGCGACGCGGGCTCTAAGTTCCACTACTCCTGGTACTGGGAGCTGGTCAATTGGGTGTCGTGGGTGACGACGCGGACCAAGTGCGTGACCGGGGAGCCGGAGCCCAGCCTGCCGGATCCAGGGCTCAGGTGCCAGCACCTCTGGAACTGGTGCTCGCTGCTGATGCTCCTCTCGGCGGTGCTGCACGCGTGGATGGGAGAGCACGCGGAGCGCGTCAGCTTCCTTCGAACGAGGGCGCCGGAAGAGACCTCCGGGGAGGACCGCGCGTTCTGGACGCCCTGGAACGCGATGCTGCCCAAGTTCGTCCTGATGCACTTGTACTTCCCAAATGCCCTGTGGCTGCTGCTGCTCCAGTTCTACAAGTCGCAGGAAAGCGCCGCCCTCGGCCAAGGCTGCGTCCCGGGCTGACTGGGTGGAAGCCATGCAGTCCATCTGCCATTATTCTGCTGGGCATCGCGCGTCGGCACGTGGACGGCGGTGAAAGCGGTGTGTGGGCGCCGTCTGGAACGCGCCCACTGGGGACCGACAGGCGTGTCGCCAGTCGCGGGCCCCAACCAGGGAGGACTGGGAGAGAAGGGACAGCTGGGAACAGTGCGCAAGCTTGCGTCGATGCTTGCACTCATCCCCACCCCCCACCTGTTAAAACACATGTGTGGCTTTTGGCATGGTGGCATTTTGGCGCAAGGGCCTGAGACATGGGTTGGAGAAACGGCTGCACAAGAACGGAGTGGCTTGGGATGTTGAAAGCTGGCACAGCAGGAGAAATGGGTTCCAGAATCTGGATCTGGGGCGCTGCTGCTCGATGATTGCAACTGCTTTTCGAGCAGATAGATCGGGGTATGGTGATCATGCGAGACGTTGAGGGAAGCACATCCCTGGCGAGCCTTGATATGCAGGACTCCATCAATTGAATTGAATCTTTTGAGAGCTCCTTCACGTTGGCGGAACGTCAAATTTCTGCCTGACGGGATCCTCTTCCCGCCTGACACACTGGCCAAGTCAACTGCATAGTCTCCATCCTTGTGTTGAATGGCCATTTCGTGTGACTGCCAATGCGGCTGGTGAGTACGGCCACGTGTGCATATGCTGGAGTATATGCCCGACACAGATCCCCAAGCAATGGGATCCTACTGACACACAACCACCTGCCACTAATCCAGCTACAAAAGCACAGATCAAATGGAAATGGTAGGGACTACTGGCTGAGCCAGCGATCACGCCCGTCACAGGCTGCGACGTGATGGGTTCAACGTTTCTTTCCTGCCTGATCTGGCTACGCCTTATGCGATCAGAATTCCAAAGTAAACTCAATTAGCCCTTTACTCTGGCTATCTCGTGAGCCAAATTGGCCAGCTGCAGCGATTAACCGCACATTAACAGACACAAGGCACCCCAAACTATTCCACACACTTTTCGAGTAAGCCTTGCTGCTGTCCCTGCCAAGGCTGGAACGCAGGCGAACAGATTGACGCAAATTAATGTCAACAGGGCACCGCCAACCGCCTTCCAAAGTTCAGCCAGTTCATTGGTATTCACAAACACACCTACCCAGTCCTTGATACCGTTTTCAGGACTGTGGACACTGCCCAGCTATATCAGCACATCATTAGCATATACTCTGACATCCAGTTTCTTGCTGATTCTGAGTACACCTTGGACAACTCAATTATCAACAACCTTTGCTGACATCTCTTTCCAGCTCTTTCGCAGCTGGCGAGTCTAATTCCGAGATAGTGACTGCCTTTGAGCTTCCTGTGTGTCTCCTTGTAGGTCAGCCTTTGTAAGAGCTGGGGGACACTCCGACGACACAACTTTTGCTACAGGGGTTTGGACCTTAAATCTTTGCTCAATTATTTGGGATCTTTGTCAGCCTGGCTTCTCATGCTATAGCCAACATTGTTTTTTTCAGGCTTCTATTACAAAGGCAGTGGGGAACTCACAGGAAATGTAGTTGTTAACTGTTATCAATGTATCTGAAGTTGATTCAACTGTGTGCACGACACTGATCACTGTGGTGACTATTTAACGCTTCTCATGGACACCGGCAGAATTCGCAACAAACACCACAGATTTCTGAAACCTCAAAACCAGCACCACGGAATTTCGAAAAGGCAGGCAGCCCTTACACCAGCCTTCGCAACGAAATTCTAGCTTGTTCAACACTTGTGATGAACGCGCGTTGTGTAAAGTACAACTCAGGGCACCTCAGCACAGGGTCAACAATGACTTGCTCGCCAAACAGTCACGATTACTTGCAACACTTCAACAATAACTCTGCACTCTGACCTGGATCCTTGGTGCCTCCAACCAATGCCAATGTTCCCTTTTGGAATGCTGAAATGTCTCCTGAGGGGGCAGCACCCCTTGTATGTCTTTCAGCCTCTCTTAGTCACCATATAAATGTAGCAGCTCTTTTGGGAAACGCAGTTTGGGCTGTAACTGCCACAGCCCTATTGAGTATTATAGTAATGTGTGTATATATTGGAGGTTGACTCCAACTCAACACCCCAGGTATTCTTGAGGCGCTTTGCTGGGGCCATGTAGGCTTCCCAGTCTATTACGTGATGTGCAATTACTATTTTAGTGCACTTGGGGCCCCGCAAGTTGTCCCAATAGGACACTGTTCGTGACCCCATATAATGACCATAGTTTTATTTGGTGATCTATTCGCAACATGGCATAATGACCACCGTTTCACTACGTGGATCACTTATGCATTATGGTGTGCGACTTGTATGCACTTCAAGAATGTTGGATATATGCAAGGCATTCTGACTTTATACAAAGAAAAGAAAAATGGGTTTTAGACTCACAGAATTATTTCTCATGTGATGGGACTTTTGTGAGCATCAATTTGATTGTTGTGGGAGATGCCATCCGATTCAGAGATAAATGTTATGTTGGGGTGGCGCTCGCAGCTGAAATATTTCTACATTGCCATTGAGTGTATGGGCACCTTTAGTATATGTGCTATAGAGTGGGTTGCATTGTGGCGATGAGTGGGCATCTCTGAAGTGCGGTATGGCTGGTTGGTTATAGATGATGGTCCTTGTCACGTGAAAAAGACAGTTCTGTGGGTGCTGGAAGACTCGAACTGTTCGGTTGCGGGGGTCGTTGCCACCGTCGGCAAGGCTCTTCGCTGTGGGAAGGGTGAACAAATATGTAAGCCCTGGGCGTTGTGTGTGTGGTGTGGCCTTGCGTCTGGCCGTGTGCCAACGCCGCTGAAGCATCGGCGATCGTGGATTCGCGCTTCCCGTGTGCACTCCAAAAGGGGCCGTTTGAATCGCATCAACGTCATTCCTTCAAGAGATCACTTATGTAATTGTCATACGATGGGCATCTATCATACGCGCTATGCCCGCTGCATGGGATGGCCCGAGTATGCCACCATTTTTGATACAGAAAAGAAAAATAAAACACTCCAAAAATGGGTTACGAGCGGGCAGCCGCAAACCTTAGGAATGAGAATGAGGGCGGTGTAAAATTAGGGAGACAAGGGCTGGATGTGAGATGCCACCCTGTGTTCTCACCAGATTCATATCACCATTCAACGCCCCAGATTGATTGGATTCAAGACAATTCTGGGGGGTCCTGGGCCTCAAGAGCACAGGTTGTGAGATTAGATTGGGATGGTCTAATCAACTCTTCCCTGGTCTAAGAAAGATCATCTGGGCTGTCTGACCTGACGAGAAGAGACAACTAGCTCAGTAATCTACATGAACACATGGGGTTTCATGTTATGTGTGAGGTTATGTTCAATGTGGGACCTTGAAATGCGCTTACACACACAGGCTGACATGGCATGTGTATTGGCTTTGTGGGATCTCAGAGCTCAGACAGGGTGTTGGTCCTTGTGTCATGCAAGGCAGTTTTTATTACTCTCGCTGTCAGCATTTGCATGCACTAAAAGTCACAGGTTAGGACGGCCATGACAAGTTCAGCACATGACAAGGGTGTGGGAGTGGGAGTCAGAAGTAGGTTGAATCCCCTCAACCTGTGTGCTGATTGTGTATTTTACACTTCACCCAAGGTTGGTTATGCAAGCCATATCGAGTTGGGAGACAGCGTTTATTTATAGAGAAAAACGTTTATGAGAGTTGTCCTATCGGAAATAAGGAAAACGTGAGAGGGTGGTGGGTCTTTTCAAAATACAAGTGCACCAGATTGTGCATGGTCCTGTGGAAGGGCCAATAACTTGTCCATTGGTTTCGAATAGGAGGGCTGACTGTATGTTAGATACTTGGCGGGGATTCTTTGTCTTTAAAGTGGTTGTTTGTGTGATACCACTTTCTTTTCTATGTTTTCGCAGCTGCCAATGCGCTTTGTATAGCCCATGAGCCATGCCCACCTTTCCTTGGTGGCATGGGACAAAAGAGAAGAGTGGCAATGTGTTGCAAGGGTTTTGCGCGGGTGCAAATGCGCACTTTGTGCACTTGTTATAGTATGGAATTTCATTAACTAGAAAAGGGGGCTAGTTGTTGAGGCTCTCTTGGGAGAGGTTGCCTAATCTTGACAAGATTAGCACAAGTGTGAGCACATTTTGCAATGTATTTCTGATCAATTTATTGGGTTTAGCTTTATGCCTTTTTATAGCGGCTGAGTATTACCAAAGGGCTGGGCATGTTGCTCTTGAAACTTGGCTACATAGTCTATGTTTTGGATCTGGGGGAAATGTGCATTATACCCCATTGCAACATGTTTTTGTGTTACTAGTGCTATGCAACACTGCTAGATGCTCAAATTTTGTTGTGATGTTGTGTTGTACACGGGAGTTGCAGCCTTATCTTGAAAATTTGTGCAGAATGGTTTTGATTGCGCAACCATTTTTGTGACACCGGTGCTGTGGTTGTGGGGTGGCCTAGACCGTTTGAATGGTCAAGTGGACCGCTTGAAGGGGCCAAACCATTGCGCTTTGTGGATACGCAGGCACAGTTTACAGATTTCTAAGTATGCATGTGGCTGTGTGCTTGGGGCATCACGTTAGGCCATACAAAACTTGAGGTGACCCGGGCATAAAAAGGAAGCCCGCGGCACTGCAAAGTGGCACATCCTATATTGAACAAGCTTAGAACGCTCTTTTTCAAGTTGTAGATTGCTGCATACTGATGAAATATTCAACCATTCTCAAGGCTTATAATTTTATGGAGAAGTAGGCAGCATTCTGCCAGCCTTCCCCTCCCTTTTTTACTGTACCCCATCATATTGTACCCAGCCACTTTTGAAAGCATTTTCTGTCACGAACTGGCCATAGTTTCTTCTGAAAATACTCTTTTTATCGTTCTTCTTGTCAGTGAATATCACAGCAACAACCCTTTTGAGTTGCATGGACACCTGACTTCAGACTCAGCAGTCTCATTAGGCCCATATTAGGGCTGATGTTCCCAACAGCTTACACCAGGACCTATGTT